TAGAAGAGAGAAGAGGTCGGACAAATCAAGTTCTTAGAAGTGCAAGAATGGAGCTTCTACAGGTGGATATTCAAGTGTGCTTTGGAACTTAATGTTAGCCTCTATAAAAATCTGCACTCGACGAAGCTTCAGAAATCGAAGAGGCGTTTGCTTTCTCAAAAGCTGGGCTGCTCAGAGACCACGAGGGTCGATCTCAGAAAATCGAAGAGGCGTTTGCTTTCTCAAAAGCTGGGCTGCTCAAAGACCACGAAGGCCGATCTCAGAAATCGAAGAGGTTTGCTTTCTCAAAAAGCTGGGCTGCTCAGAGACCACGAGGGCCGATCTCAGAAATCGAAGAGGTTTGCTTTCTCAAAAGCTGGGCTGCTCAGAGACCACGAGGGCCGATCTCAGAAATCGAAGAGGTTTGCTTTCTCAAAAGCTGGGCTGCTCAGAGACCACGAGGGTCGATCTCAGAAATCGAAGAGGCACCTACTTTTCCAACCTTGTCAGCACCTGTCACACGCACACTCAGCTTTGCGGAAATTATGGGCATTCTGTCGAAGATTTCTGGCGAAGTAGAAAGCACATGAATCGTACTGTTCAATCACCCACTTCCCACACGCAACAGTAGCTCATGGGTACCACATATAACTTTGCCAAAGTTCTCTGACAAAGTTGAGACTACTTTTCCAGCCTTGTCAGCACCTGTCACACGCACACTCAGCTTTGCGGAAAATTATGGGCATTCTGTCGAAGATTTCTGGCGAAGTAGAAAGCACATGAATCGTACTGTTCAATCACCCACTTCCCACACGCAACAGTAGCTCATGGGTACCACATATAACTTTGCCAAAGTTCTCTGACAAAGTCGAGACACGTGAAGCTTGCAACTCTCACTACATCGCTCTGACCAAGAAGGGTAAAAAGAATAGCAAAGAAACAACACTAACAAAGTTTAGACACATAAATTTTGACAGCCTAGCTACCATATTATTACCCACAAGGGTAAAGGAACAGTACCACTGCTGGATAATTGGAAAGTCCCGGTGTGTCAACCTCTGTGCTTCATGGCAAGGTAGACTAGCAAACATGCCCAACCTTTACTCACATTCGAGAAAAACACTCCCAACAAGATTGCTTGCCCCAAAATCGAAGAGGCATCGCCCTCCGAATCTCGAGAGCCAGACTCCCAACATGATTACTTTCTCAAAAATCGAATAGAGGGTAAAGGAACAGTACCACTGCTAGATAATTTGAAAGTCCTTGTGTGTCATCCTCTGTGCTTCGTGGCAAGGTAGACTAGCAAACATGCCCAACCTTTACTCACATTCGAGAAAACACCCCCAACAAGATTGCTTGCTCCAAAATCGAAGAGGCACCGCCCTCCGAATCTCGAGAGCCAGACTCCTAACATGATTACTTTCTCAAAAAAATCGAAGAGAGGGTAAAGGAACAGTACCAATGCTGGATAATTGGAAAGTCCCTGTGTGTCAACCTCTGTGCTTCGTGGCAAGGTAGACTAGCAAACATGCCCAACCTTTACTCATATTCGAGAAAACACTCCCAACTCCCAACATGATTACTTTCTCAAAAATCGAAGACACCGCTCTCCGAATCTCGAGAGCCAGACCCCCAGCATGATTGCTTTCTCAAAAATCGAAGACACCGCTCTCCGAATCTCGAGAGCCAGACCCCCAGCATGATTGCTTTCTCAAAAATCGAAGAGGCATCGTTCTCCGAATCTCGAGAGCCAGATCCCCGACAGGATTGCTTGTTCGAAAACCGAAGAGGCACCACTTTCCCAACTTCAAGAGCCGGATCTCCTTGGATAAAGCTTGTCTGTAATCTTCACACGCAACATCAGCTTTCCAGATACCACAGACCACTTTTTCAAAGTGCTCTGACAGAGTTAAAAACTTGTGAAGCTGGCAGCTCCCACTACCGTGCTATGACCAAGCAGGGTAAAGGAATAGCATTATTACTTGATGTTAGGGAGACTCCTATATATGTCGACCTCCATCCCCAACGGACAGGCAGACCTGCAAAAATGCTCAACCCTTCCTCTTATCTGAGAGGGCACTCCCAACGAAGCCTTTCAAAATATTCAGCTTTCTTTCCCCCCGATAATACCTCTGTAAACAAGCTATATACTAGAGCAAGAATATCTCATATCATCAGGGTTAAAAGTAAGAGTATCCCATATCATGCTTTTTCCCTGTCTTTTCCTTTGGCCTTGTTCTTACCTGCAAGACAATGAGAAAGAGAGCAATCAGTCAGCACTTGGAATCAAGCTTCCAGCCAGGAACTGACTGCCTGGAACCCCTTACCCTGGCATTGCTCTCGAGTACTCATCTTCAACATCTTATGCTTCCAAGGAAGATATCGCATCTGCCTGAGGATAGGGCAAGTGAGAAGGATACAAGGAAGCATGTGGAGACAAGCGTAACAGCACACGTGCCGATACATCCACTACTCTGTCAAAAGAAAAAGTATCCCATATCAGCAGGGTCGAACGTACTCTAGATTTGATGGACTTGTTTTGACCCTCAAATTCTTCAGTCGGCCTTATACTTTGGAGGAAACCAGAAAACCCTCCAGGCCAGTTCAAGAATAAGCCTGTGGAAAGTTACTTCTTCAAAAGCAAAAGTATCCCATATCATCTCTTCTCATTTTTCTTCTCTTTATCCTTCATGCTGCCTGCAAGATAGGGAGAATGTGAACAATCAGCCGGAGCTCTGATTGCTTACCTTGTCTGTTACCTCCTTCAGCAGATCCCTCCCCTAGCTCGGCGACTTGGGGGACTCCTACTACATGGTTTGTATCGCGCTTGACCAAGCCTGAAACTACAAGTAAGCTTCAAGTGACATTGATACATTACCTTGTGCATCTCCACCAGTTACAGATACCACCCTTGGATGGAGGAAGAGTACTTCCAGAGAAGATTCCACATCTACCTATGAGACAGATAAGGAAAGTCAAGCCGATACCACACTCCGGGACTTAGAAGTTTCGTGGTTACGAGATCATTCTCCCACAATATTTCCTAATGTCATTTGTACTAAATCATTCACTTGTACTCCCTAAAGGAGAGCTTGAACCTATGTACTTGTGTGTAAACCCTTCACAATTAATGAGAACTCCTCTATTCCGTGGACGTAGCCAATCTGGGTGAATCACGTACATCTTGTGTTTGCTTTCCTATCTCTATCCATTTATATACTTATCCACACTAATGACCGGAGCAATCTAGCGAAGATCACAAAAAGTGACCGTTTTCGCTACCTAGGATCTATCTTGCAAGAGAACGGAGAATTAGATGGAGATCTCAACCATAGAATACAAGCTGGATGGATGAAGTGTAAGAGTGTATCCGGCATGTTGTGTGATCGTCGTAGGCCACTGAAGCTCAAGGGAAAATTTTATAGGACGGCAATAAGGCCAACGATGTTGTATGGCACAGAATGTTGGGCGGTGAAGCATCAACATGTACACAAAATGGGTGTAGCGGAGATGAGGATGCTTCGTGGGATGTATGGGCACACGAGAAATGATAAGATTGGGAATGAGGATATCCAAGGTAAAGTAGGAATAGCCAAAATTGAAGGAAATATGAGAGAAAATCGGTTCCGGTGGTTTGGACATGTGCAAAGAAGGCCTACTGACGCTCCGGTTCGAAAATGTGACTACGGGACAGAAGTTCAGGGCCGAAGGGGTAGAGGAAGACCTAGGAAAACTTTGGAAGAGACCCTAAGAAAAGACTTGATTACTTGGATCTAACGGAGGACATGACACAAAACCGAGCGCAATGGCGTTCTAGGATTCATATAGCCGACCCCACTTAGTGGGAAAAGGCTTTGTTGTTGTTGTTGTATTTTTTTTTCCTATAACTTCCTAGGCCATTTATACAACATTAAATTAAATTAAGTAACATGAAGCAACATTAAATAACATTAACCAACGATCAACATGATGTCAGCTACCAACGGCTAGCTGACGTCATGTTGTTGTCACTTAGCCGTTGGATTTGAATTTAAATTGTAGTTTTTAAATAATAAATTATGTTTGGCCCTCGGTTGGAGACGGTTTTTTGTGACAGGGCTAAAACGAGCCTTCTGGCCCTTTGGCCCTTGGTTGGAGACGAAGGCAAATATGACCTTGTACTGTTCATTAAAATATTAATATCTTAGAGAATCTTGGAGGGCCAGAGGGCTAAAACGAGCCCTTTAGCCAGTCCTCGGTTAAAGATGGCCTTAATCCTCCATTTAATTCATTATGGGCTAGGTTTTCTTTCTATTGGGATAATTTTGGGAATTTATTTTTGTCCACGTTGGGCTCTGTAATTCAGCTCATGTAAAATTAGGAGTCTTTGTCCTTATGGTTGATTTTGAGGTGATTTTGGTTAAAAAAAGTAGAGAATAATTTTTGGTTAGAATAGTCTTAGTCCAGGCCATTTTCATTAAAACTCCCTTTGTAGTGTTAAGAGTGTGAATTGCACATGAAAATTAAAGGGACCTTAAATGTACTTATAAGGATGTAAATTTGCTTTGGAACTTCAACTTATTTTTTGGTATGAGAGATTAAACCTGAGTCTTGAGCTCAACGACACGTACTTCCATATCATTTAATATTGTTATTCACATGGTAGGCTAAACGATGTCACATGTGAAAAACGTTTTGAAACTTGAGAATGTGAATCTCAAGTCAAAAAATTAAACTGAGGTGGAAAATTAAACAAGCGAGTGGACATAATAACATTCTTTATAAAACCCCAACCGTTCAACCTAAAGCCCACGAATAAACCCATGATTCATATAAAATTAAAAGCCCAACCCAATTTAACCAAAAATTCCAAGATATGAAAAAGATGTAGAACTAGGTCCGCATCGCAAGCGTTGATCCATGGACCAAATAGAAACAGCATAGCATATGTGTGATATAAGATCCAACACAAACACTCGCTCAATCTCAACCGTTCATCACAGACCTCATTAAATCATCTCGATCATTATTAACTGGATGGTCCATTTTACCCTTCTCAGCATATGAGATGAGGTCCGCTTACTGAGCTCTCCTTCATTTCCCACCTGAGCATTCTCGCTTCTTCTCCCCCAATCTCGTTCTCGTCGATTACCTGATTCGGCGACGCATCGCGTTTCGTCCGCCGCAGCTCCACCATGGTACGCAACCGACATCTCAATTCGTCCACATTTTTTTATGATTTTTTTTTTTCAGGCTTATTATTCACCTCCCTAGGTTTAACTCTGATTCAACTTCGCTTTCATGTTGTGTCAGTCCGTGATGGTTTTGTATGTTAATTTTCTCTGAAATGTTTGGTTTTAGTAGATCTGATATGGGGTTTTCTGCGTTTTCTGTTTCTGTTATCTGTTTGTTTGGTGGAAAAATTGAGGAAGATAGCTGGAAAGGGATAGAAAATCGAATTTTGAATAGCTGGTTAGGTTTTCACCGAAACAGACAATTCTGGATGCCCTCAGACAGAAGCCAGGTTCACCTGCCCAATGCCAATGATACGCAGAGCTAGCTTTGATACGTATTGGAGTTATCATTCGCTAAGCCCGTCTTTTCTAAGGCTTGATTGGAGAAAGGTTCTGACTTTAGGCTTCAAATGGATTGCGAGTATTTCGGTCTACATTATTTACCACCTCCATCGTTAACATTTTTGTTCGGATAAAAGCCGCGTGGGGACTATCGGGGAAGTCCTCTTAGGTTTATTGGGTTAATTCAATGTGGGTCAAGGTTCAATTTTGTGTGAGACTATCCTCCAGGTCAAACACGTGTAGCTTGGTGTAGGCAAATTAAAAGGGAACACATATATGGTTAAGATGTTCTAGGAATGATGAATTGAGGTTGTACAAGCTGCATTTCAATCTTATAACACATGTACTCGTATTGCCTTCTTCATGAAATGTAGAATCTTTAAGAAATGAATGTTGCGGATATGCCACAGCTTTGTTATAGTACCAATGTTACACCATGGTTCTGGTTGTGTAATTTGATGTTGGATTTTTCATGCATGTTTCTGTGAAGTTGTTTCATGTCAACTGTATTTTGTTTTTCTTGTTAGCTCTGAAGAGTAGATGTTATAGGCATAGGTCACTCTGGAGAAATAAACTGCGTCTGACTTCTTGTTAATTTGTAGGCACCCATCAAGGGTATACTTTCTCTGCAGAGAGCAGCTTTAGCTCGTCATCATGGTGCAAAGTGGGGCCTAGCGTTTAGATCATTCAGCACTCAGGGAGCAGCACCCTCTACTACTGCTCAACCTCCACCTCCGCCACCTCCCGAGAAAACTCATTTTGGTGGTTTGAAAGATGAAGACCGGATTTTCACTAACTTATATGGGTTGCACGACCCATTTCTCAAGGGTGCCATGAAACGAGGTGACTGGTACCGAACCAAAGATCTAGTTATTAAAGGTGCTGATTGGATTGTCAATGAAATGAAGAAGTCTGGCCTACGTGGACGTGGTGGTGCTGGTTTCCCATCTGGTCTCAAATGGTCTTTTATGCCAAAAGTATCCGATGGCCGTCCTTCCTATCTTGTCGTCAATGCTGATGAAAGTGAACCTGGAACCTGTAAGGACAGGGAAATTATGCGCCATGACCCACACAAACTTTTAGAAGGTTGCTTGATTGCTGGTGTTGGGATGAGGGCCAGTGCTGCTTACATCTATATAAGAGGTGAATATGTAAATGAACGGTTAAACCTTGTAAAAGCTAGAAATGAAGCTTATGCAGCTGGATTACTGGGGAAAAATGCTTGTGGATCTGGTTATGATTTTGATGTTCATATCCACTTTGGTGCTGGTGCCTATATTTGTGGTGAAGAAACAGCGCTTCTGGAGAGCCTTGAAGGGAAACAGGGGAAGCCAAGATTGAAGCCTCCTTTCCCTGCTAATGCAGGATTATATGGCTGTCCCACCACTGTTACAAATGTGGAAACGGTGGCTGTTTCTCCCACCATATTAAGGCGTGGACCAGAGTGGTTTGCCAGTTTTGGGAGAAAGAACAATTCAGGGACAAAATTGTTTTGTATCTCGGGACATGTGAACAAGCCTTGCACTGTTGAAGAGGAAATGAGCATACCCTTGAAAGAGTTACTAGAGAGGCACTGTGGAGGTGTGAGGGGCGGATGGGACAACTTACTTGCAGTAATTCCAGGTGGTTCATCTGTTCCATTGCTTACCAAGGATATATGCAATGATGTTTTGATGGATTTTGATGCACTGAAGGCTGTGCAGTCAGGATTGGGAACTGCAGCTGTTATTGTGATGGATAAATCAACGGACATTGTCGATGCAATTGCAAGGCTTTCTTACTTCTACAAGCATGAGAGTTGTGGGCAGTGCACACCGTGTAGGGAGGGGACAGGATGGCTATGGATGATCATGGAAAGAATGAAAGTTGGGAACGCAAAGCTGGAAGAGATTGACATGCTTCAGGAGGTGACCAAGCAGATTGAGGGGCACACAATCTGTGCGTTGGGTGATGCTGCTGCTTGGCCCGTGCAAGGTCTAATAAGGCATTTCAGGCCAGAGCTTGAGAGGAGGATCAGGGAGCGTGCAGAGAGGGAACTGCTGGAGGCAGCTGCTTAACTGCATCTCTCAGGTTGCTTCTTGTATCTATTCTGCATTCATTTCTTCATTCGACTTCTACAAAGAAGTAAATAAGGGAGAAAAACAGTACTAGTAACTTGAACTTGGGTACGCATTGGAATGTGTTTGTTGTTGTCTTGTTGTAAGGCCACGCAACAGGTGGCCTGGTCCGGTTGGCTGAATCTAGACATCAATGGGCTAAAAAAATTGTCGCTTGGTCTAATAGAGGGCTTCTGCTGTGTAGGTTATGCTTGTATTAGTGGAAATCATGGAATAAAATGAAGTTGCCCCAGATTTCGGGAGGATATGTGAATCGGGAGGCAGCTGGTGGTCCAGCTGCTATTGTTTGTTTTTAAACTGTATCTCGACTATATGACCTCACTGTCCCAGAGACAATCTGATTCATTGTGGATGCGTCTGGGCAGGATATTTGTGTTGTGTTTCCAGATCTTGTTTTCCCTTACACAGTCGGAGTTTTGTTAATAAATTTTCGTTTTTCGCTTCCCTGCTTTGATAGATATCCTTCACGAATTCAACTTTAAATCTCAAAACTAAGAGATTACCAAGTTCCTAAACTCCAAGGGATCTATGCTGCGTTGGTAAGAAATGCACTACGAAATATTCAACCGAGGGGTCAAAAATGCACTTCATGGGCATTACAAAGGCGCTAAACAAATAATTTTTAGAAATCCCTGTTAGGGCGTTCTAGTAATTTTAAATCCATCTATATAATGGATCGGAGTGCATTTGTTACTAATGTAGCCTTGATCCCTTGGTACTTGGTATGGCAATGACTTATGTGGTACACATCATTAGACTTGCCAAATTGCATACATTACATGTAACTCATCAAAGCCGGATAAATTATTGAGAGTGAAAAGTGTTAACATATGAAATCTTCATCAAATAAATCAAACTAAGTTGAAAAACAAATAAACCCTACTGGATCAAATCCCTTAATTATGGTTTAATTGAATACTTAAAGCATCCAATCTCCATTGGCAAGAATCTCTGGCATCTATACCAACTTCCATTTCAATAAAGTTGAAGGGGATGGTTTCCCACCGTTTGATAAAGAAAGAAAAACTTGACGTGGATGTTTCAACCTCTCTCGTCGACCAACATCGCTTAAAGCCATCCAAATAATTATTAATTATTAGCTTTGTGTCACGACCAAGGGACAGCATTGCTGGACCCCCATCAAATCACCGACTTCTACTAACAAATTTAAGCGAGAATAATTGTCTAATAACCATTTTATTTTGGAAGTGAATTTAACAGTCTTATTCTCTTTTTGCATAATTCTGTTTATTATAATCATTTTTAGTACGGAACGGATCATTTCCGGATCCATTGGTCCTAATTCATCAAGTGCTATCATCCGGATCATTGAAATTTCATCCAACGGCTAAAGTTATTATAACTTTTAAAGTGGATCCCTATCTATAGCTGTTTGATCAAATTTCAATTGCCCGAATGATAAGACTTGATGAATTAAGACCAATGGATCCAGAGAGGATCCATGTCCTTCTAGTACAATTGTTTTTCGATTTTTGTATCATTTAATATGCATTTCTTTTACATTTCTCCTGACGTTTTCGATAATTTTTCTTTCTCTCTCTAGTTTATCATAAAAAAATAAAAATAAAAACGAAATAATTATCCAACCAACTCTAACTGTTAAGGCCATCTCTAATTAAGGTTGGCTAAATGTCTAATAGCAAAAAATGGTCTAATTTGCTTAAAAACTCATCTACAACTAATGTCATTATTTGGTCAATGAGGCATCAGGTGGCCAAATATAGCCGCCCTCTTAGCTTATTTTTTGGATCCAACTCCTCAATTGTAATAATTGATTCAAATTCAACGTCTAGATTTGAGTTAGTAGCTTAATTAAATTAACAAATAAATTTAAAGTATAAACCTAAAACTAATAAAAAAATTCAACACAAAAAAAAAAACTAATAAAATATCAATTGGCTATGTTAAACCCATTTAGTTAAAGATAATAGATGAGTACGGCATGATACTGTTTATTTAAAAGTAATTTTTGGTAGGACTGTAATTGTAGACTGAGCTTGCTTTAGTTCCTCTTGATTGAGATGACGAAATATGTAAAAGAAAGGTAGGTAATGGTCCAACTTTTTGTTTAAGAAGATAGAGAGCCCAATGAACTGATCGTGTGAGCCCAGATCGATCGGATCAGGCGAGGGCCAGAGAGCGACAGGAGAGAGACGGTTGCTTCCTTCCTTGCCGCACAACGCGGTTATCAACTTACCATCTTCCTCTTGTTCCTTTTTATCCAACGACCTTTTCCTTCCTCTTCCGTATTCTCACCCACCTTTCCCCTTCCAATTCATTCTTCCACATTCTGTAAATATCCACCCACGCAGTCACAGAAAGAAGAGAAGAAGAGAGAAAACAGAGAAGCAGCTCGCTTTTCTTCAGTTTCTTCTGCATTGTAAGTTCACTCACATCTCCTTCATTTGTTCATAGCTCCCATCTCCATCAAACTCTCTGCAATTCCCAACTTTACTTCCGATTGCCCTCTCAATTTTACTGTTCTTCCGATGTAGTAGTACGAAGTAGCATTTCTACGCATCAATGCTTGGATTAGAAGTCAATTTTTTGTTTTGTTTTTGTTTGTTGTTAATTGATTCACTGCTGCTATTCTCATCACCCCTGTCTGCCTGTTTCAAATTTTGCTAATTTCATTCGCATTTCTATGTAACGCGGAGGGAGGACAGAGATTTTGTCACCATTTTTTATATAAAAATATGAAAATTAAGCTGGATGAGTGGGGTGGGTGATACCCAAAGTTTATTAAATTAAACCCCTCTCCGCGTTTGTACTTGTTTTGTCTTTGATGGTCAAAGCTTAAACTGCCCATTATTTTTTTCTATTGAAATTCATAAGGGTTGAATTGCATCTTAGATTGCTGGTATTAAATTACATTCAAAAGTCGGGAGCTTGGATATTTTTTACATCCCATTTGTTCGTATCTGATTTTGTGATGTATTTTTATATGCAAGGAGGTTTGATGGATGTAGAAGCATTGTAAGTTTGTAACTGGTTCTACCCATCAGGAGCTATCCAGGCGCTTTTCGTGACAATGGTTCTTGGGATAAGATCAAAGAGCAGGAAGAGCGCGGCCGTTGAGGTTGATTACCTCATCCATGTGCAGGAACTAAAGCCATGGCCCTCGTCTCAGGCTTTGAGATCCGTTCAGTCCGTTATGCTTCAGTGGGAAAACGGTGATCAGGTTTCTGGATCGTGTATTTGCAATGTTGGTGATGGAAAGATCGAATTTGGCGAGTCTTTCACGCTTCCAGTCACTTTATACAAGGAGAAATCAAGAAAAAACGCAGTTCGCGACACTTACCAGAAGAACAACTTGGAGTTTTACTTGTATGAACCTCGAAAGGACAAGGGAGTGAAAGGTCAACTCTTGGGGTCGGCTGAGATCAATCTTGCAGACTATGGGATCGTTGTGGAAACCAGAAATGTGAGCACTCCGCTGAACTGGAAGAAGAGTTTTAAGAGTTCAGCACAAACTGTTCTTTCTGTTAGTATTCAGCCGTGTGGTAAACCGAGCTCCAGCTTGACACCAAAGAGCAGCTTGTCCAGAGAAGAGTCTCTGGAAAATGAGGGAACTGAATCTGTTCCAGGGTCTGTGAATGATGGCACTGACGAGATTGCCTCTTTTACCGATGATGATGTTGATGATGATGTTTCCTCGCATCCATCACACACTGTAAACTCCTCGGCTGTTGAGACAACAGTCAGTTCATCACCTAGCGGTGAAAAGGTATGTGAAGTCATTTTTAAAAGTTCTCCCTTTCAGATCAGTTTCTTTGCTTAGCTGCTCTTATAATTTAAAAATATGATATCTCCAGTTGCATCTAAAATATATGTAGAATTAGGTTTATGGAATTTAACTTAGTTTCAGATCCATGGTTGTAAAATGAATAACCGCATCGCTGATATTAAGGTCTTCAAATACAAATTCTGAGAACCCAAATAGTGTGACATAAGTACCAGCACCACCATCCCTTTCATAATCATTCTCATGTGTATGTCCAAAGAATTCCGATTTACTTTTGTTTGTCAGTTACTTTTGCACCAATCAAATAGTGGACAATAACTTCCCTGATAGTGTTCGTCCTGATGGTTGCTTCACTTCTCTTTATCTGATTCAATTCATTTGTGTATTGTCAGCTTGTTTAACCTCCATATATAATTAATTTCAGAATGTATTAGAATCAACAGCCAATGGCACTAGGAGGACTTATGGGGAGCCTGCTGCACGGTCAATAGCAGCACCTGGAAGCACAGGGGTGACTCCAGTGGTTAAAGCATTAGAGCACCAAAATGGAAGTTCATCTCCACTGTCGTCAATAGGCTCTTCCTCCATTCTGCTGAATTCTGCAAATGATCGTGCTTCTTTGCCTAACAGTTCAAAGGAGAGTGCTTCAATGCCAATCCTGAAAAAATCAATCACCCACTCTGTTCATTCAGCGTCTTCACCCTTTGGCTATCAAGACAGCCATCAGGAATCTGGTTACCATAATTTTAAGGACAACAGAATTCACATAACTCGTTCTAACAGAAGTGCCAGAGTGCATGAAAATGCTCAAGATCTTATCAAAGACAATATTGTCCGTAACCATGCTGCTGAAGGTTCATCCTCAAGCATGTCTATTCAGGAGGACACAAACTCCACATTTGCAAGCAATGCAGATTCACAAGCCTTTCGAGAGGATGGTCATCTCTTAAAGGCCAATCAGTATACTTTTGATGACAAATTAGCTTCTCGATTTTCACAAGATGCTACCAGAAAACAAGTCAGGTTAAAGAGTGAAACTTTTACACCCAGCAGGAGAGTTGTTGGAGTGCAGGGAAGTAAGGTTAAAAGTAATGAACTAAAACATGTAAAGTCTGTGCAGTTACCTTTAGTATCAGCTCAGAACAATAGACAGTCAAGCAATAATGAGCTTCTCGAAAAGTCAAAGGAAGCTGAAACTCAAGATGCTTATGTTCATGGTCGAATTAGCGCGACAAGTGAAAGAGAACAAAAAACAGTCAGCTTTTCCGATGGCAAAGTTGACTTGGAATCTACAATTGAATTGCTTAAGGAAGAACTGAGAGAAGCTGCTGCTGTGGAGATTGGCCTTTACTCTGTTGCTGCTGAGCATGGGAGCCACACAAATAAGATTCATGCTCCTGCTCGGCGACTTTCTAGATTCTATTTTCATGCTTGCAAAACAAGCTTTGGAGCTAAGAAGGCAAATGCAGCACGAGCTGCTATCACTGGACTAATCTTGGTTTCTAAAGCATGCGGAAATGATGTTGCAAGGTATTAGAGCTAAATAAATGGAAACTGAACTCACCATTTTAATTTACTGGCAATGCCTTATCAGTAAAAGAAATGATGTCCAAGATGATATGTATTTTTGTTTTCTTTTCTTTTTTTCTCTTGACGGTCCTAATCATTTGATGCTTTGAGTTCTAAACATCTTCCAGAATGCGAAGATAATTATCTTTTAGTTTGACACTGTATGTTTTGTTGCCAATGAACAGGTTGACATTCTGGTTGTCGAATTCAATTGTGTTGAGAGCTATTATCAGCCAGTCCTTGCCCTGCAGAAAAGTTGGCGCTGAGGGGGTTTTAAAAGCAAAGAATGGGTTTTTCCTCACAAGGAAGAGAACAATTGCACTCTTGAAAGTTTTGATGATTGGGAGGATCCGCAGATATTTATGGCTGCTTTGGAAAAGTTTGAAGGTTGGATCTTCTCCCGAATTGTTGAGTCTGTATGGTGGCAGGTAAAACCCATATTATTTTCAGTTTTCTTCATTATTGGCATCATCACCTCTTTTTATTCTTTCACCTACAAGAATTTAGCCTTGATCTGAAAGCCCTTGCTATTCATGACGGATATGTATCTTGTTTTCCCTCTTCAGAATATGACTCCATATATGCAGTCAGCGGTTGCGAAGGGCTCAAGCTCAAGGAAAGCCAATGGAAGGAAGCATGGTTTGGGTGGTCATGAGCAAGGTAACTTTTCTATGGAGCTGTGGAAGAAGGCTTTCAAAGATGCCTGTGAAAGGCTCTGTCCTGCAAGAGCTGTTGGACATGAGTGTGGCTGCTTGCCTCTGCTGGCTCGTTTGGTAGGTTTATGCATCATAATCCCTTCCTCAATGTGTACGTTGAACTTTTCACTGCACCTGGGAACTCCTAAAGGTTATCATAGAACACTGTGTATGAATATAGTTGAAAACTTGGTGCAAATGCTATAGGTAGCCAGAGCTACACCACCAATGTTTAAGTGAAAATATATCTAATGTTTTATTTATGTACGTGTTGGAATCTAAAGGTCTTCGCCTAAGCCGATCAAAGACAGAATATATGGAGTGCAAGTTCAATGCAAATGGAGGCCAAAATGAGTTAGGGGTGAGGATCGGAGATCAGGAAGTACCAAAGAGCGACCACTTTCGCTACCTACGATCTATCTTGCAAAAGAACGGGGAATTAGATGGAGACCTCAACCATAGAATACAAGCTGGATGGATGAAGTGGAAGAGTGCATCCGGCGTGTTGTGTGACTGCCGTATACTACTAAAGCTCAAGGGAAAATTTTATAGGACGGCAATAAGGCCGGCGATGCTGTATGGCACGGAATGTTGGGTGGTGAAGCATCAACACGTACATAAAATGGGTGTAGCGGAGATGAGGATACTTCATTGGATGTGTGGGCACACAAGAAAGGATAATATTAGGAATGAGGATATCCGAGGTAAAGTAGGAGTAGCCAAAATTGAAGGAAAGATGAGAGAAAATCGGTTACGATGATTTGGACATGTGCAAAGAAGGCTTACTAATGCTCCAGTTAGAAGATGTGACTACGGAATAGAGGTCCAAGGCCGAAGGGGTAGAGGAAGACCTAGGAAAACTTTGGAAGAGACTCTAAGAAAAGACTTAGAGTACTTGGATCTAATGGAGGACATGACACAGAACCGAGCGCAATGGCGTTCTAGGATTCTTATAGCCGACCCCACTTAGTGGGAAAAGGCTTTGTTGTTGTTATTGTTGTTTTATTTATGTATCAAACTCTCAATATAATTCCATGACTTCGTTATAGTGAGCTTTTACTATTGCGGTGTGTTTCCAAAAGTCATTTAAAGATCCGTCACATGGTTTTTCTACTTTCCTCAAAATTTATGCAGACTTACAGAATGCTAATTTATGGTTTTTCAGGTAATGGAGCAATTAGTGGATAGATTGGATGTGGCTATGTTCAATGCTATTCTTCGTGAAAATGCTGAAGAGATGCCCACAGATCCTGTGTCCGACCCCATAAGTGATTCTAAGGTTCTCCCTATTCCAGCTGGAAAGTCGAGCTTTGGGGCTGGTGCACAGCTAAAAAATGCGGTGAGTGTGGACCTCATCGTGTGAGGTTATTAGTCACATTGTTTTTTCGGTTGCCGGTGAAAAGTCACACAATCTTTTATTTTTGAAAAAAAAATAGTCTTGCATTTCATTGATGGAAGGATTGTGCTTGTCTTCATGACCGCAGATTGGAAGCTGGTCTAGATGGCTTACTGATCTATTTGGCATCGATGATACTGATGCCCCTGATGATAATACTGAACTCAGTGATCACAAGGGACAAGAGTGCCCAACATCCTTTAAAGCTTTCCGTCTTCTTAATGCTTTGAGTGACCTTATGATGCTTCCATTTGATATGCTGGCAGATAAATCCACCCGGAAAGAGGTAAGGACCGGGTTTGTGTCCACGCCCCACACTTAATAAAAGAACACCGAGTTTATAATAATTCCCTGCCTTTTTGTAATAATCACTGTATTGATTTCTGAAGGTATGCCCTACATTTGGTGCATCATTGATCAAGAGGGTTATATACAATTTTGTTCCAGATGAGTTTTGCCCAGACCCAATTCCCACAGCAGTTTTTGAGGCTCTTGATTATGAGGTACCTAAGAGGCCCTCTAATAATCTCCGCACGTAACAATTCAGCTTATTTACTGAACTTCATTCCTGTTCGAATGGTGTAGGACTGATTTGTTATCCATTTTGTTTTTTTTTTTGTTTATTTAGGAGAATTCAGAAGCTAAAACCGACTCTGCTGGAAGTTTCCCATGCAACGCAAATCCTACAATCTATTCACCACCTCCAGCTGCTTCGCTATTAAGCATTATAGGAGAGGTAGGAAGTCTAACTCTCTCGAGGAGTGGGTCATCAGTGCTTAAGAAATCGTATACAAGTGATGATGAGCTCGATGAGTTGGATTCACCGATGACATCAATCATCATAGACAATTCCCCCTTTTCTCCCAGTCCATTGGCAGCCAACTCAACACCGAAGTGGAAGGGTGGTCGGAATTCTGTCAGGTATCAACTCCTCCGTGAAGTTTGGAAGGATAGCGACTGATCTTCCCTTTCATGTATGTATCTGATATACCCGGGGCAGGTTGTTCAATTTGGGGGCTCCCCTTAACTCTCGCTTGTACATAGATGAGTATTTATACAACGTTACAACCATATGAATATTGAGGCAGTTTGTTCCACAGCAGTGGTTATCCGGTTAGCGGCTGTAATCTAAGCTTTCATGGAAGCCTATTATTTTTTTGAATAATGATATCATGTGGAATAAGTTTATACATATACCTAAGCTTAATCTCGGTTTCCTTGTCTCGTTGTCGATGGACTTGAACTACGGGAGCAGGCAGGCGTTAGCCGATACTTGTCTATGAAATTGAGTTATGCAAATGTTGAACTGTTGAACGATTCATTTGAACTGAAATTTCGAGGATGTTGTATGAGAAAGTACCCATTTCTCGAATCAAATACTTATAAACATAACAGCAGGAATACAGTTCAAGATTTTGAATGAATACAGGCTACAGTACCACGCATCTCTGGCTATCTTTGTTTGCACCTGCAAACACCCACGACGAAAATTCATGAACCACTGGCTGATTCGAGCGGCAGAGACAAAAAATTATGAAAGATATAAGCCAAAACCCAAGAAGGAAACCAAGCAAACAACTACAGCCTATTGCGCCTTCTGGTGCATATAGTTTTTCCAGGAAACGGATGAGTAGCGAATGAAGAAATCTTACAACTTGGACTGTGTACCAGTAGTTGCAGCAGGCAGTGCGTCGTAGTGTCCATAACCATGATAAAGTACGCGGATAGGGTTGTCCCTTCCGTACTCTTGACCATATTCGGCTATGATCATGAGGTCGCCGGAATCCTTGTCCCGCATATAAACTGTAATCGGCATCCTAGGAATGAAATTGTATCATTAACTGTAAGATCGACGAACCTATGTACCTTCTGAAGTATATAGAAACTTTCTTAGCATAGGAGTATATAGGACTTACCGTAGGACATGTGAGGACATAAGCAACTCAGGTTCTCCTCCCCAAATGTGGGGCTGTCGCATCTGTACAACGTACGTTTCAAAATCATCTTCAAGAAACCTGCAAATAAATTCAAAACAAATTTCGACAAGCGATTGAAAATGATTTTCAAAGCAGTTTAAATCTGCATCGAGGCAGAAGTTATCGGTTGGTGAGATCTTTGCGAAATTTACCATTCGGTGTCTGACCTCCGTCTGATGAATTCATCGACCACCTGTCCAAATCATATCACCATTTTACGTAGGAAATCGTATGACAAAATAGCATCAGTATCCTTCTGAATTCAGTAAATTTGAGTTCATCGTGTACCTTTGATCTGAGCTCGTCGGCAAGTTCTCTCTGAAGGCTGTCACTTGGAGATGGTTTCCCTGCCCTTAGAGAAGCGCCGTGAACCACAGACCGGAACAAACATCTTCCGTCTCCACGTATGCCTGCACGAAACACACATAAATTAACAGTCGATGATCGCAAAACACATTTGCATTGAGTATTTAAAACATGAAAATAAATTGTAAAAATAAAATAAAGCGAAAAAAAAAAAAAAAAACAAACCAATACCTTGATCCATAACAATTTACCAAAATTCCCTAATTAAGGAGAACAAATTGGGAGGAAATTTTAGTAACCAAATGGCAGGCAAAGTGCATGGATTCAGGAAACGAATCTATTATAACACCAGATACATGAAGAAAAGCACTTATACAAAAGCACACCAGATATATGAAGAAAAGCACTTATACGAAAAACACAAGCAATTCGTCTAATTACTGAAGTTAGGAATAACAAATTAACCTGCATTCAAGAAAATAAAAAATAAGAAGAAAAAATCAAAACTTTCATAACCAAAAACAAAGTTAACAAATGAAACTTTTGTTACCGAGAAGATTTTCCCGTTTCGGCATCGGTTGAATTCAGATTAAGCAGTTGGCAAAACAAACAAAAAAATCAGTAAAAATGCCAACTTATATGAATGTTGAATCTTCATCTTTTTGCTTCTTGATTTCGATGTGCAAAACTGCAATTGAATCTCAGCCGTTGAATGAGCTCGACATCGACTGATGAGACGACAGCTGAGCTCCTCCACATTTCACAGCTTTTTGCTTTCAAAGAATCGAATTCGATGCTTTTAATTTTGCTTTTCAAACTCTCAAGTTTCAACCAACTACCAACGGCTAGGATCCGTTACGTGCGTCCATTTCCAAGCTCACCCAAACGACGACGTAAGGTGTATTCATGCATGTAACACGTGTCAATAACACATAGAACTCCCCCGCTAAAATCAATAGGACCCGCTCGTATCCAACTGGCTGGGCGCCAAAAATGAAACTTCGCCCTTCCAAACAATTGATTTTGGTTTTTTTTTTTTTTTACTATTTACAGTTGCTTTCAAATATAGGGTAGAAGACTTCACTTTGGAATAAATAAAAGGCCAAAATCCTTAACCACTTTTCATGATATGGATTCCCGGGCATCCTTGGCGTCCCAGGTAACAACATCTCTTTCCAATCTCAAAACTCCATGATTTAAGTAGGAATCTAATTTTATGTTCGTTTTCATTTACATTCTCTTCGGAAAACATATGTTCTTTATTAAAAAAGGAACATGCATTGTTATTGTATCAACAACGTTGAAAATATACTGGTAACATGGCGGTTGTTTTATGGCAATAAATGATATTGACACATTATCAATAACATGTCGATAGTCTGTTCCAGAGCTGAACTATTATTTTCATATAAGTCACATTTGCTTTCACATTGTTATATGGAGTACCATATTTAATGTGCATGTCTGATTAAATTTGGAATTTCCCAGGAATCAACAACCCAAATCAACATGATCAGTCCCAGAAAACGCCCGTTGCACACTTGTGCGGTTTCAATTTTACTGGTAGCTCATAGAGCCTTCACCATAGCCCAAGGTCTCAATGGACCACTAGGGTTCATAATAAAAATTGCAGCCAGACTAGTCACGTTGGCCGGAACCTTGGCTTATGCCTTGCAATACCAATGGCTCACACTGGCAATCCTCTCATTCATCGATGATCGAATTTTAGCCCTTGAAGACATGATCGAGAGATTTTACCCTCCTTCACACTTTGTGTTCGACAAGATTGACGACCTTGTCCAAGTCACCGAATCCCTTCCTGGAAAATTTGACAATGCCGTAGGCAAAATCCTGGCACATTTCCATCACGTTTCGTTTTTGGATTGGACGTTGGTGCGTGCCATTTCGCTGCTGAATTTTGTTGCGGCTACATTGAACTATTGGAGAATGTCCAACTGTACAAGGGAGAAGGAGATTAAGGTTGATGCAAGCAGGAATATTGATCGCAACCGTGGACCGTGTTCGGTTCATGAAGCTGACTGGTCTACCCCAAATGGTAACAAGAATAATGCTGCAGCAAGTGGTGATAAGATTAATAAGGGTAATACCTATTCTTCTCCTCGTAGAGGTGTTACTTACAAGGAAGTGCTTCTGCAGAAGGGAACAAATAATGGAGGGATTGGAAAAAAAGAAGAGAATAAGGTTAATAACAAGGAAGAAGTGGAGAGTAGTGTTGCTGATGATGATAGTGAAACCAACTCTAAAGATGATGACCTCCTTGAATTGTTTGAATCAGCGTGGCTTATGACATCGCCTGGAAAAAATAAGGAAAAATACGCGCCACGTTCAGTTTCATTTATTTTTTGACAAAAGTAGCACGGTTTTAACCACTCTTTTCACGAATAACAAAAAATTGTGCAAAAAGAATGCTATTCTTGAGATAAGGTTATATATTTAGCTAGTTTGTTAATATGAAACATTAAGGTAATTTTTGAAGTTTTAGAACTTGGTCAATATATGTAGATACAAAAATGAAGTGTTATTTGGCTGTCCAATTCCATAAACCTTGGGAGCGAGTAGGATTCTTTGTGTTATGATAGAGAACCGAGCATCAGTTGGTTCTGTACTTCAGTTTTGGCATCATCAAGAAATGCAATGGCTATAAATAAAATGTTATATTGTTTGTGGTTTGTGGAATTTACAAAATCCACCGAGTGTGCTCTCAAAATTTGCGAAGCAAAACTTTCTCTTGCATCATTCTCATTAGTACTTATCGTTTCTTCACTCTCAAACGATATCAATTTCGTCAGACGCGACAAACAGGGGTTACATATCAACAACGAGCAAGGTTGGAGTTTTATTTTTGCGAATGAAAACGGCTCTAATCGGCTCTCTAACTGCGAGGAGTGGCTTAAGCGTGCTGTTGAGGTACTTGGAGCAATGCTTTTGGGAGTGACTGTTTAAAAGATCATGCATGTTGCTTGTCACTCCTTGGAATGTAAAAAAAGACGTCAGCTTGAGAGATGATCTTTCTTTTACATAAATTATTCATAATCAAGTGATCAAATGCTGCATAATTTCACAGCATTAATATGCCCGAAATGAAAAAACCCTGGCTTATGTCAAGCAACATTCTTTAAAAAATATTGTTTGACTCATCTCTTTCGTTTGTTTGGTCTGAATTATATCATTAGTAAAAAAGGAAAAAGAATCAAACATTTTTTTTAAAATTTCTCATGCATTTTTTTTTTTGTAATTAAAATGCTTGCTTTGAGATCTTTCAAACACTATCACTAAGACACTCAGGGTCTTCAATTGATTAAAGTTCACAACATAGCCATTTTTGTAGAAACTGTAACTACGTAAAAATCATGCTAGGTTTTTATATAGCATGGGCCCAGCTATGAGAGGGTGAGCTTTCTCTAAGGTGATGCCAAACTTCTCTTCCATATTCAAGGTCTCTGGTACAATTCCATTTTCAAGCGTCCAATCGTCAAACGATTTAATAAGCGAGCCCAACATCAAATTCAACATTCTCATTGCCAATGGCAATCCAGGACATATTCTCCTCCCACCACCAAACGGAAGAAGCTCAAAGTTTTTCCCTAAAACATCAATTTCCGAATCCAAAAACCTCTCCAGCATAAACGAGTTTGGATCGTCCCAAATGTTGGGGTCTCTCCCTATGGCCCATGCATTGACCAATACTTGTGCATCCTTTGGTACAATGTACCTGCAGATTTCAACATCTATTTCAGCTTTTCGAGGAAGTAGAAATGGAACGACTGGGTGCAATCTGAAGGTTTCTTTGATTACGGCTTGTAAGTAAGGGAGTCAAGCAATGTGTGATTCCTCAACTGGCTTTCCTTTGCCGATGATTTGCTTCAGCTCTGCTTGTGCTTGTGATAGTTTTTCCGGATTGCGGAGTAGCTCAGCCATTGCCCATTCCAATGTGCCTGAAGTTGCATATGTGGCTGCACTAAACAGATCATATTTAAAACCAAATGACTAATTAGTCTGAAATTTTAATATATCAAAATGACAAGAGTAGAAGAAAAGCTGATTACGAACTATTATTCTTATTCACCACTAATTAGTAGTGACGTTCTTCTTCACTTGTAAGTAAGAGGTCTTAAGTTTAAATCACAGGAATAGCGAATTTATTACCAATTTATTCCTCATTTCCCATAATATAAATATATCATTACATAAAAAATATCATTCTTATTCTATTGACTAAAAGAAAGGAAAATTTTAAAAATTTGATAAGACGCTACATAGCAAAGGGACTACATTTTGTCAAGACTTCATTCCTACAAGGTTACAATAGGTGTATTCATAAAGATCTAATCTTGAAACAAACGGGACATGAAAGCAATTTTAATCATTATTATACTCCAACAAATAATTAAATGAAGCTAATATGATGAATGACAAAAACCTACTTATACTAACTCAAGTGACCATATGATTATTGGGGCCCTTAAACACCCACCCTCCACCTTGCCCCTTTTTATTAGATTATCTTTGACATGGATCATTACAAATCTGGCTAAAGCCGAAGTCAACGAGGGCACAATTGTGAAAAAATTAAACAATTGGGAAAAAAATTAAAATCCCGAGCTCGAGGATAGGGTTATCCTATAAAAAATTCACTTGTTATATAACTATTATAATATTGAAAGATATAATTCATTCATTAAATTTTAGTGCTCTCAATTATCCTTCCTTTTAAATACGAAAGGCTCCCAACAAAGCGTTTATAAAGTCCTTCACCCTCTCAAGAATAATAGGCAATAACAGAGAGCCCTCGTGAAGTGTCAATTGTTTATGTACACCTCAAGTGATGCACATGATGGCCAGTTTAGAAGGTACATATAGCGACACAACTCATAACTAACAAACAAGTAAAAGACCAACAACAACAAAAATTAATGATCGAAGAAAACCTAGCTACTTTTTAATTCATCGAATCAAGAACAATAAATAGTAGGAACCAACCAGAAACAAATGCTCAGTTTCAGCCATGTCCATGTCCTCGCTTTTCTCTTCATTGAAGTTTATAAGTGTATCCAACGTATCTTTAGTTGTGACTCAAGATGTCCATGCAACCATTGGACCTAGTGAATAATAGAGGGTATAAATTGAGATCCTCTTTGGAATGGAAAAACAAAAGACGTCAGCTAGAGAGATCATCTTTCTTTACATAAATTATTTATAATCAATTAAGTAATCAACTGCTGCATAATTTCATAGCATTAATATGCCCGAAATGAAAAAACTCTGGCTTATGTCAAGCAATATTTTTTAAAACATATTACTTGACTCTTCCTTTTGTTTGTTTAGTCTGGATTATATCATTAGTAAAAAGGAAAAAAGAGTCCCACCAATTTTTTTTTTAAATTCTCATGCATATATATATATATATATATATATATATATATATACAGAGAGCTTAAGGGGAGGGATTCCCATTTTTTGAAAAAAAATGGGGATTAGGTGTGGGGCCCACTTCACATCTAATTTCAACGATCCGAACCGTCTATTTTGTTAGTCTCGATTCATAGATCATCCTTGCAAAAATTCAATTCAATCCGAAACCATTTGGCTATCTAATTATCACTATCAAATTTCATATTTTCTTATATAACAAAGTATTCGTTCATTTCCTTGAACCCAATTAGATGTCTTAAACATTTCCAATTTAGATGGGGATCCCTCCCCTTAAGCTCTCTGTGTATATATATATATATATATATATGGCAGTTTAGTCCTGCGTTTGATATAAACTGAAACAAGTTTTAATGAGATTCACCCCGACTAAATGAGACTAAGCACTTCACTAAAGGTCTTAGCGAGATCCCCTGAAATTGGTCGGACTGCAAAGCCCAACTCCTCCCTGCTTCGATTCCAACCTTTATGCAATGATTTGGTCGAAGAGTTGTTCCATCTTGAGGAAATGATTAATCATCCGCCGCTGAATGCCTTGGGGGTCAAGTTGCAAGCCCAGGAAAGTAGTCCCCCAAATTCGGCTTCCCGGCCTCCTCCATCAAACCCAACACAATGTCCTTAAATTCTTTAGCTGTCTCACTCCTCGGATCTGCTAAATCCATAGAGAACATCGTATGCGATAACAGTCCGCCATGTGGACACACACTAGAAGAAACCCACATCTATCACGGTAAATGTCCGTGGTTGATTGTAATTTACCATGGACATTGTGTCCGTTAGTAATCTGGACATGATGAAAAGTTTGAACTTCTACCACGGTCAAAGCGCGTTATCAATTAAATAATAATCACGGATCTAACCCATGGTAAATTGGAATCTAGCATCACGCACTCTGACCATTGTGGATCACTAATTGACCACAATCAATGCCCGTTGTAATAAGATTTTCAAAAAAAAAAAAATTATTTAATTAAAAAAATAAAAAATAAATATACAATCACACAATTGCAAATTTACTGTAATAAAATAATTTCTTAATTAATCAATTATTAAAAAAAATTACAAGCATTACACTAAACTACAACAAAATCAGGTATAAAGCCAATGTCCTATAGTAAGAAATATGAAACTATTTTGACAAAAAAAGAAAGAAAAAAAGAAACACGAAACTATGTATCAATTATGAAGTACACCTCCATTTACTGGGAAATAGTCAGCTTAGAAGTTTACTTTTCCTTGAACACCTCCAAAAAAAAATCCTTCACGAGTGACATCCTGCCCTTAATGCTCGAACCTCACTAACTGCATCTTCTATATGTCTACTTCTATCTGCATAGACATAAGCACAAAGAAAAATAAAATAAAATCTTATACTTCTTGGGTGGGAATATACTAATTTGATCTCAAGTAAGAGAAGTAAATACGGAAGGAAAAGATAATCATGTGGTACAAACCAAGTGGATACACTCAAATATACACAAAATTATGATAGTGCAAATTCATATAAACATGTAAGCCTTCTTTCTTTTTCATGACGTCTACAATTTTATTTTTTTTCAGAATAAATTTAAGAACATAAATTACCTGAACACTAGTTAGAGGATCACTGTAACCGGTGCAGAGGAAAAGCTGGAAGTTAGTGATAAAAAAAAAAAAACAACAAAGTGCAAAAAAAATTCATACAGAACATTCATCGATAAAATGAAAAGAAATTAGAGAAAAAATCACCTCGGTTCTTCACTTCATATTGTCGACTTTTTTAACTTTTGGAATGTTTGGAGCTTGGAGATTTTAGTTTTCTTTTTCATATGCAAATAATCACAACTGACTCGGGTTTATTGAGTGGGAAGTTACTGGGCGAGGGAAAACACCGTAGAAACGTGTAGATTTTATGTTTGAATTTGAATCCCACGTCTACTGCAAAGAGAATATTAAGAGGATAAACGTGGGTTGTGTTTATCTTTTCTTTCTTTATTTTTTTTTAATTTGTGTTTTTCAACTTTTTTGTGTTTATCTTTTCTTTCTTTTTTTTTTCTTTTTTTAAATTTGTGTTTTTCACTTTTTAGTGTTTGACATGTTTATACGGGGTTTAATAATTTATATTTTTATTTGTTATTTGTAGAGAGTTATAACCGTAAATTTATGGGATTTTAGTTGATAAGTAGTGTTTCATTAATAATATTTACAGATTTTTTTTTCAACTAATATTTACAGATTTTGAGTAGTGCTGTGAAAATTCCAAATTGCATATATTTGCCTGTGGTGGCTTATTATATTAACAACGTGGAACTTTGCACATGGTCATTTACTTTTAATTTATAACGGACTAAGATTTGTTCGTGGTAAAAAATGTTATTCACCATGCTTATTATACTTGTGGTAAATTTGTACTTTTTATAACGAGCTTATAAAGTCCGTGGTAAAATTGTTGTGGTGGATAAGTTGATGTCTTGTAGTGACATTTTAGGAATAAGATAATGAATATGAGGTCACATTTTATTTTTGAGTCTCTCTATTAGATTATGATACATGTATCAGAGTTTAGACGGTTGATTGAAGAAAGAAAGAAAATATCTCGATGCTTTATTGTCTCAAAAAAAATATCTTGACGCTCTATTGTTTAAAAAAAAAAATATTTTAACGCTCTATTGTTTCAGTACATGTCATACATTGAAGTATAATACAAGATGCATTTCTTTTCTTGTGAAGTGGAGATATGGACAGTGCCAACTGACCAATCCAAGAGGCAAGGGCCACCCATTTTATCGTACTTACAGTGATCAATTTGCATATATTATTAAGTGGATGCTGTATCTTTGGAATTGCCTTCTACCATGTTCGAAATATGAGAGTTATTGCCCCAGCTGGCGCCAACCGTAATGAGGAGAAAACTTGATGGCCCGCGAGGGGTACATACAACTATTGGTGGAGTGTTGTCCGACTCCGGGATATTTATATTTAGGGTAAAACTTTAACTTTTCTTCCAGATATTAAACTTTGATTTTTCTTTCAGATATTTTCCCAAAAATCACTTTCAGTCGTTTAAAAACACTTGTCAAACGAGCATGTATTCCCGGTCACGTTAATTGGCATGTGAGAATGTTAAGTGTTTTCCGACATAAAAAAAATTAAGTGATTTTATATGTGCTTGTAAAGATTATATTATATCCCTTATAGAATAGGCTAATACATAGACTATATATAAGTAAGATATGTAAAACTAGCAAAATACTTTTGTGTTAACAAAGAAAAAGAAAATTCGAACTTGAACCTCTTTCACTTTTTATTTATTATGAAAATAGAGCTATCTGGAGCCCAAAAAATGAAAATAGAGACTTCTATGTTTTTGGTTTAGGTCGAAAGAAATCATATTTTTATGACTTTAACGAACACATGTTAAAGCCACTTACGGTCTAGTGGTATTCCTCTTCACTTATAAGTTAGAGGTCTTAGATTCGATTCTCTCCAAAGACAAGTTTGAATCTCATTATTGCTAGTCCATCATGAGGCAAAACCCACCCTCTCCCCTTCATGTAGATAGTATCGTTTGTTAAGAAAAAAAAATGAACACATGTTAGAAACAAATGAGACTAGAAGAACAGGATGCCTCAATTTTCTCACGTTACAATCCAATGTCGTTATTAGGACATTACCACTGGGGCAGGCCTTAGGTGAGCACCCGTCCTAGTGTGCAATGGAGGTCACTAACCTAGGCCATGAGCCTTCTTGATCGTTCATTCAGCCCATCAAGGTAATTATTTGTAGGATCCCACACGTTTCAATTATATAAACACCCCCCCTCCCCCCAAAAAAAAAAAAAAACAAACAAACCCACTCTTCCTCGATGTGAGACTTATATCTATAAGTTTCAACAATACTAATCACTTAGTTGGGAACAGCTCTTAGAGGCTGAGCCATCTGTAAGGTCAGCCCAAACTTTTCCTCCATGTTCATGGTCTCTGGTACAACTTCATCTTCAAGCTTCCAATCAAATGAGTTAATAAGTGACCCCAACATCAAGTGTAACATCCGCATTGCCAACGGCAGCCCGGGACATATTCTCCTCCCGCCACCAAAAGGAATAAGCTCGAGGTTCCGGCCTAAAACATCAATTTCCGACCCCAAGAACCTCTCCGGCTCAAATGATTTGGGATTGTCCCAAATGCTGGGGTCTCTGCCTATGGCCCATGCATTGACAAACACTTGTGCACCCTTTGGTACAATGTACCCGCAGATCTCTACGTCTTCTTCGGCCTTCCGAGGAAGTAGTAACGGCGCTGGTGGGTGCAACCGAAAGGTTTCTTTGATTATTGCTTGCAAGTAAGGGAGTCCAGCAATGCCTGATTCTTCAACAAGTTTTCCTTTGCCAATGACTTGATCCAGCTCTTCTTGAGCTTTCAATAGTTTTTTTGGGTTGCGTAGTAGCTCAGCCATTGCCCATTCCAGTGTAGATGAAGTTGTATCTGTGCCCGCAGCAAATATAACCTATATTTTCACAAGTTATAGCTACACATCATTGTAATGAACAACAAAAAACAAATGGTTACTAGCGTAATTTACATGCCACTAGTCATAATGAACTCTCCTTCACAACGTCAATAACCATTTGGTCTAGTGACACTCGTTAGTCAGTGAGGGTTGGCTTGGAACACTTGGTAGTGCGTGCTAGCTAGCTATTTTGTGAGATTAGATGGTTCTGAGTTCAAATTTCATGAACGAAAATATTATTGTGATGTTGAATAAATGAAAGAAACTACACTAGTAGAAAACATTTTACGGTAAATAATATAGAGTAGCTAGGGAGGGGGACTAACCAGAAACAGGTGTTCCATTTTGTTCTTGTCCATTTCCTCACAATTCACTTCACTGATGCTTAAAAGGGCATCCAACATGTCATCCCTTGTGATATAATCATGAGCTTTCCTCGATTCCAACCTTTGTGCAATGATTTGGTCGAAGAGTTGTTCCATCTTGAGGAAGTGATTAGTCATCCGCCGCTGAATGCCTTGGGGGTCAAGTTTTCCAAGCACAGGAAAGTAGTCCCCCAAATTTGGCTTCCCGGCCTCCTCCATCAAACCCCACACAGTCTCCTTAAACTCTTTAGTTGTCTCACTCTTCGGATCTGCTAAATCCATAGAGAACATCGTACGCGATAACAAATTCAGTGTCGTACTAAAAGCAGCCCTGCCAATCTCTATTGCATTGCCCTTTACCTTACTTGCATTGACATCAGCTATGAGCTCCTGGACTTTTTTGTGCCGGATGGCTTTGCTTGCGTCGAGAACTTTTACTGCGAACAATTGGGAGTTGAATATTTTTCGGAGGCTTCTCCATTTGGCTGAAGCCGGTATCCAGGGCAAGCTGTGCTCTCCCATGTCGCAGGCTCGGACTGCACTGGGGACCGTTCGATTGCATAAGAATTGGTCGTGCGTTCGTAGAACTTCTTTCGCCGCGGTTGATGAAGAAACGACCACGGTTGTTACTTGGCCGAGTTGCAAAGTGATTACGGGGCCATAGATTTGGGAGAGCTTAGTGAGAGAGAGATGGGGTTTGTTTCCAAGCTCTAAGAGATTTCCAATGATGGGAAATGGCTTCGGCCCCGGTGGAAGAACAGGCCTTGTGGAATTGGGATTGGATTTGCTTCTTTTAGCTAATGAATTGAAAGCTTGGATTGTGATCCAGAAGAAAGAGAGAAGACATAGTCCCATACAAAAGAAATCCATCTCTCTCTCTGTGTGGGTGTTTGCGTAAAGTGCAAGGGTGGGACTAATATAGTCCGGTTGGAGTGGTGCTATACATGTCAATGACATTATCGGTTACGTAGACACATTTTAGGAATAGGATAATGAATATGAGGACACATTTTATTTTGAGTTTTTCTATTAGATTTTGATGCATAGTATGTATAAGAGTTTAGACAATTGATTAAAAAAAATAAAGAAAATATATTAACGCTCTATTATTTCAGTACATGTCATACGTCGAAGTATAGTACAACATGTGTTTGTTTTCTTGTGAAATGGAGATATGGACAGGGGCCAACTGGCTGATCCAAGAGGCAAGGGTGATCAAATTTGCATATATTATTGAACAAGTGGATTCTGTATCTTTATACTTGCGTTCTACCATGTTCGAAATGTGATAGTAATTGCACTTGATGGCCCTTGAGGAGTACAGACAATTATTTGTCATACGGACGGTGGAGTATTGTCCGACATCGTGTAAAACTTTGACCTTTCTTTCAGATACTAAACTTAATTTGACTTTTCTTTTAGATATTTTTTTAAAAAGCAACTTAATTTGACTTTGACTTTTCGAAAGTTATCAGAAGATGTTGTTTTCGAAAGTTATTAGATGATGTTAATTATGGATTTTGGTTTCGAATTTACTTTTGAGGTACGAAATACATATGTCTTATGAATATGATTAATTTAAGTGGTTAACTTTTGCATATTCTTGTTAATTTTTGTTTATTCAAGACGGTTAAAAGATTCTGATAACTTTCGAAAACATGTCAGACTCTTCCTCTAATAATGGAGACACATCTTCTGTTTCATTTCCACCATCCTCCTTTATAGTACGACTCTCCTCTAAAGGAACCACCTTGACACCCTTCAACTTGCAAGAGCCAATACTACCCATATATTTTGAATTAGTAGACTCAGACTCAAAATGCAAGCCTCCAATAGTTGAGGTCCAAAAACTCTGGGGACATCTGGAACATAAATTCCATTCTGTTCACACTAATTAGCAATGAGACCTTTTACACAATAATTGGGGGTTAAACAATGATGACACATCTTCTGTTGAGTCTTTGGGCAGGTATTGTGCCCATCACCGAACCATTTCTCAATGCAAATCCTTTCATATGTCTTACCAGAAGCGATGATGACCGGATCATACATAAGTTGCAACGATATCGGACACCTCAATTCTTCAGGTGGAAGAGGCATCTGACCTGATTTCCGATTGTTTGGCTTGGAACTAAAAGAACTTTTGAAGTTACAAGAACTAAAATTTGACATTTGTCAATCAAATGCTTGAAATTTGGATATAATAACTTCGAATCTAATATGAGGATGTAGTTGGCAGATTTTTATAATTCAAGGACTAATTTTTTGAAATAGTTTAGGCACTTAACTTTCACTCACGTGATAAATTAGGGACGAAATTTGCGGTTCGCCCCAAAACTTATATGGTAGAAACATGAAAGTAGATATCAAGCTGGGTTCTTCTATATTTCTATAACATAGGAACAACTCTGAGAGGTTGAGCTTTCTGTAAAGTGAGGCCAAACTTCTGATCCATGTTCATGGTCTTTGGTGTAACTCCATCTTCAAGCTTCCATTTATCGAAGCAGTTAATAAGCGAACCCAACATCAAGTTCACCATTCTCATTGCCAATGGCCAGCCAGGACACATTCTCCTCCCACCACCAAAAGGAATAAGCTCAAAGTTCTGGCCGGTTACATCAATTTCCGATCCTAGAAACCTCTCTGGCACGAACGAGTCCGGGTTGTCCCAAATTCCAGGATCTCTTCCTATGGCCCATGCATTGACAAACACTTGTGCACCCTTCGGTATAACGTACCCGCCGATTTCAACGTCTGTTTCGGCTTTTCGGGGAAGTAGTAAAGGCGCTGCTGGGTACAGACGGAATGTCTCTTTTATTATTGCTTGTAAGTAAGGAAGTCGAGCAACGTCAGATTCCTCAACCAGTTTTCCTTTTCCGATGATCTGCTTCAGCTCCGCTTGAGCTTTTGACAGTTTTTCGGGGTTGCGGAGTAGCTCAGCCATTGCCCATTCCAGTGTGGATGATGTTGTATCCGTTCCGGCAGCAAATAATTCCTGTAATGAACGATTAAAGAGAAGTGGAACGTCATTTGTCCCACATACATATTGAAGAAGCACTACAAGAAAAACGAGTATGTGACAAGTTACAAGCCTAAAGATCACTTAATTTGTCGTCGTACCCAATGCACAAGGCTTCCGCTTTACGCAGAGTCTGGAAGAGGTGAATGTCACTTAATTTGTATGTAACAAAATTAAAATCATGACATTGTACACAGTATGATCAGCACATAGAGATATTCACAAGATCTCCATCAGGGTGGATCCATTAAGGGGCAGAGGGGGTTAGACCCTCTTAACTATGACAAATCGCTGTCGAAGTCCTAAGTGTTACCGCTTTAAAGCTTAGAGTTGCCATTAAGACATTGTCCTCCAACTGCTTGATGAAATGCTCGATGAACTTTGGGTAGGACATGTTGTGTTCAACTCTTTTGTTGCTGATTGGCAGCTTTGCACGCAAGAAAACCAAGTCATTTTATATATATATTTTTTTTAATAATGAGATTTGGCCACTGAAAAAGAAAAACTTAAGCTTTTGTCTAGGCATATATAAAACTCAAATCTTTAAAATTCTAGATCTTTAAAATTAAATTATTTTTTTGCATTAATGATAAAGTTATAATACAACATTTTTAAATATGAATTGTATCGTGAATGATTGTCACTTGTAATGAATAATTGTAGTTTGTAATGTTATTTATTTCATGAATTATGAATGATGAACTTATAATTTAATTGTTAAAGCTATTTATTTTCCGAATAAATATTTGTAAATTTTGACAGGTGACCCGCCAAACAATTTTTCTTGAATCCACCCCTGATCAGCTGAAATTGATGTGATGAATACTAGTGTTGACGACAGTCAAGTTTTAAAAAAAAAAAAAAAAAAACTACTTATATCAGCTCACCTGTATCTTCTTGATGAAATTCGTGTGTCTATTAGAGAAAGGTTAATGTTAGGAAGACCAATTTTTTAAACTAAATTTTATAAACCATATAATGTGGTTACTGAGGATTTGACTATTATTTATGTGTTGGTTAACGCGTTTGTTTACTATTGGTAGCATATCATACCGTTTGCAAATTTAATTTAAAAAGTTGGTCTATCTAATACACTAGATGACCAATTTCAGACTATGCACAACCCTAATAATTACCTAGTAACAACTCGCGAGTAATTATCAATTACCTCTAAGCAATTTTGAGCATAAACATATTATCAAATTCAAAGAATCAGTTCATCAAGATCAAGAACAATGAAGGTAGAGAGTAGACAACTAACCAGGAGCAGATGTTGTTGATTTTTCATCGATGTTATCCTCTTATATTCATCCTTTCTCCTCACTAATGTTTCAGGGTATCTAACACATATCATTAGTCATGATATAATCAAGCGCTTTTCTTGACTCTCGAACCGTTGTTGCATCATCAAGCGGTCAAAGAGGTCAAGCATCTTTCGGAAGTGACCGGTCAAACGGCGTCGAATTCCCAGGGGATCGATCTTTTTGAGCACAGGAAAATAGTCAGCCAAGTTAGGTTTCCCGGCCTCTTCAAAGATACCCCACACCAAGTCCTTGAACTCTCTCGCCATCGCACTGTGTGTGGGTCCGCTAAATCCACGGAGAAGACTGTACGCGACAGCAAATTGAGAGTGAAGTTTTGAAAGCAGCCCTTCCGATATCAACCACCTCACCGTTTACAGCGCTTTCATTGACGTAAGATATGAGCTCTTGCACTTTTAGGTGACGGTTGGCTTGGTTGGCATCGAGAATTTTGGTGGCGAACAATTGCGTGTTACATGTTTTGCGAAGGTTTCTCCAAGCAGCTGAAACTGGTATCCAAGCCATGCCGTACGTGGAATGTTGACAAGCTCGGAGCGCATCTGGGACTGTTCGGTTGCAGAAGAGTTGGTCGTGGGTTCGGAGGACTTCTTTGGCGAAGGTTGATGAAGAAATTACCACCGTCGTTATTTGGCCGAGTTGCAAGGCCATTATGGGGCCGTAGCGTTGTGAAAGCTTGGTGAGAGAGAGATGGGGTTTGTTGCCAAGCTTTAAGAGATTGCCAATGAAGGGAAGTGGGTTTGGTCCAGGTGGGAGCCTTGTGGTAACTGATGATCTTCTTCCAAGTGAATAATAGAGGGTATAAATTGAGATCCATGCAACCATTAGACCTAGTAGTATGTATGCAACTCAAGATGTCCATCTCTCTGTGTCTCCTTTCCCTTGTTCTTTAATCCTAACCTTTAATCTGGTGCAATTGTTGAAAGAGATGATGAATGTTTGCGTATATATCCAAATTGGGAAGTGATACTGTGATAGGACGCATGTGGACTTCATTATTCTGACCATTACTTGATAGTTTATTTTTTTTTTTTTTTATTTTTTAATTCGCCAGTAAAATTTTATTTACTATTTTTAATTTGTAATAAATTCATAAAAAAGCCTACTAACTTCTTTACATAGGTGAGGTTGTTTCTTTTGAATTTTATTTGAAAATTATTTTATTATTTTTCATTTATTTAATTAATTTTTTTTTCTTTTTAAAAGTTATAAGAAGTGAGAAGCATTTTTTACCAGATGAAAGATTTATTAAAATTTACGTTCTCCTTTATATAGAGATAAATTGTGTGTCGTCTAGAAAACGAAGTCATTTAACAAAATAATGCATATAAACAAAATAGTTTAAATCCTTATTGTTCTCCAATAAATAATTGTAGACAAAAGATTAAGGACATGGAGATCATGTGGTACAATAGTCTAGAAACAGCAACTGCAGATAAGAGAGGTGAGGTCGGTGGTTGGTGGCTGACAAATTGATCAAAACTCCAAAAAGTTGCTCTAGCGGCTCACTGTTTTTAGGGTCGATTTGTGGGCTTTACCAAGCCCGTTGGACTACCCAGCCGACGTTTTTCAAGCCTTGAGCCTGCCGGTGATAGGCAATGTCAGCGCTCATGCGCACCAGAGAGACCAATGACTTTTCTTCCTTTTGCTTCAGCCGTTGGAAAATTCAACGGTCTGATGCTCTGAGAGGTTAAGCCATCTGTAACGTGAGCCCAAACTTCTCCTCCATGTTCATGGTCTCTGGTATAACTTCATCTTCAAGCTTCCAATCAAATGAGTTGATAAGTGACCC